AAGTACTTGTAAAATGCTAACTTTTTTCTGTAATCATGAACTAGAAATTAAAGTGATGTTAAATACAAAATAAATTTAAAAAAATCGTTCTTTCTTATAATTTGACAGTCAAATCTAAATCATTGTGTCATCCGATGCTGTTTATTATCATTATTATTTTATCACCTTTTTGTTTACTCTTTTTCCTCTTATTTCTTGAAGCTTTTTTTCTTTTTTAAGTATTTTTTCTTTCTTTTTCTTTTCCATGTTCTCTTGTTTTAATTTTTTTTAGATCTTTCAGCCTCTTGAAATTTTTGCCATTTCTCTGAAGTTAGTGCAAAAGGTAATTTATTCGTTTTTCTTCTTATTTGACCTTTCTTTTTATCATCAATATTTGGCCAATGTAAATGGTTCTTCCAAACTTCTTCTGATTTTTCAGCAACATTTCTAGAATGCCTTTCTCGAAAATAGACGGGGGAAAGGTGTCTTGAAGTTTGAGGCAAATCCATCTCTTGTTGACTTATATCTAGAGGATCTTTAGAAGTACTGATTTTACTTATAGAATCATTTCTTTTTTCAACTAAGAGAGGATCAGCATGAGGACTCATTTCAAATTCGATATCTAAGATGCATTCATTATCAATACTAGCTTCAGTTCCTAAGTTTGACTTAACCAAGTGGTCTTCTTTTAATACGTACTTCTTCCATATTGAAAAAAGTACAGGCTCTTGGACATTTTCGATATTAGACTCTTCAGTCAATGCTGCGTTAAAAATTTGCAACATATCTTGAGGGATTTTCCTCTCAAGCTTCTGAAGAAATTGTGTATCGTTTCTGTTTAACTCTGTTTTTTGTTGAGGAGCTTGCTTCTAAATTCTAACATAGTAAAGTAGTTTTTATAAATTATATAATCACGTTGCTATCCTATAATGATAGCTTATTAGGAGTTCTTGGTGCAAAAGACAGCGAAAAAATTTTCTATTCGAATTTTTATGATTATATTTAATTAGTTTTTGATTTGTAAACATAGTTTATTAAGTTGCTTAACATTTGATGTAACTACACACCCCATTAATAAATATAAATTATAATTTTTTCTTAAATTAAGCTATTAAATTAACATTTTGAACAGAAATTATTTCAGGAATTATTCATAAAATTTTTAACAAAATTTCGGTTGTCCTCTATATAGCAGAATTACTTTTCCTAGAGTCATGTAAAATCATATTTCACACATTACTGTTCATTCACTGGAAGTATTCCCAGTGAAGGAACATGCCTGTTTCTTCACTGGTTGGAAGTTGTTTTTTTGTCTTTTAAACAGAATTCTGATGTATAATATGACTAAAAGTACAAGAAAATTAAAAAATTTCTTTTATTTTCATTAACTGGGAAATGAACCCAGTTAAGAAACAATTGTTCCTTCACTGGTGTTTCATCGTTTGGTGATCCAGTGAATAAACACCCCCTTATCTCAAAACTTGATTATGCTATGGTGCTTTAAAAAAAATAAAACGTAACTTCAATAACTATATTTTGTATTCTCTTTTTCATAGTGCGAAAAATAAGACTACTACATGCAATTAATTCCACTTCAAACATATAAATACAAACACTCACCTTATAATTTTTTCAACGAAACAAGGTGTTGCAGAGATAATTCAAAAATTTTTCCAGAGAAATCTATTTGACCAGGTAATCCAAAATATTGCTAGATGACTTCCTATTGTTTGGCAGTAAGCTATTGTTGCCAATCAATCTTAAAAAAAACTTTCAAGTTCTTATTTTTAATCAATATATATGAAATGTTCCTTCACTGGGTAGTGTTCCTTCACTGGTTGGTTTACCCTACTTCAATTCCATTTCTGAGAATTGTTGCAATTATGGATAGAAACTTCCTAGGCTTCGCAATTTGATTTCAAGAAATAGTCTACATTTAAAATTGCATAGTTTAAAATAATATAAAAAATTTTGTAGCCATACAATTCAAAATTGTTTTGATTCTTAATTAAGAAAACAATGAAAACAAAAATTTAGTTTACGGCGAGAGCAACCTCGCTAAGTTGTTGGAAAGTCCTCCCTCATTAGACATGGATATTAACCAATTAGACATGGATGCCACGTGCCATTGACCACAACCGGCCAGGGGGTCTACCTTTCTGCATGTAAAATGTCTTGTGCCTCGACAGACTCCTCGGACGGGGTCATTTAAATCTATCACTCCTTATCTCCCCATCTGCTGACTAGACGAGTGGTCCTCTCGCCGTTCAAACCCCCTTCCTCTAGCGTCCACCATGTAAAGCCTATATTGAGCACACAAGTCAGCAAATGTATGTAATCTCAATAAATCAAATCAATCAACCTTAAATGGAATTAAATTTTAATAATTGAAATTTACAGTTCAGTGTAAAATTCTTGAGGTATGGAGAAATACCTAAACATGAAGAGGGATTAAAGGATTTAATTAAGGGACTGCTCTCTTGACTAAACTAAGGGGACAGATTCTTTTTTTTTTTTTTCAAAATTTCAGCCACCCTATATTTTTAAAAGTCAAAATTCCATATCTGTTTAAAGGAGGCTTGTTATTCAAACAAAGTACATTTTTATGTTTGATTTGTAACTAAAAATATCGTCTGTGCTTATTAATTAGCATATTTAAGCTAAGGTCCTCAATCCATTAAGATTGAGTCTTTAGTACACGAGACTCCGAACATTAAAGTTTTTCAGGGTGTTTATTAAAAAAAGTACGATTTTATATTTTCAGCAACATAACAGTTAGTACTTATTAAAATATTTGAGGTGGCCCCTTAAAAACATCACGATAGGCACTTAGTTCATGAAAATCCAGTCATTAGAACAAAAGTTATTCAGGTTTTCGTCTTTGTTTTACGCACTGTACTTGTTTATTTATATGTCTTCTACCAGCACGTCTCAATGGCTCACGCTATAATCTTTTTCTGCAAGAGGTTTCACTGGAATCAATTCTGAATGTGGTTTTGGATGTTGTTCGTGATCACGTGTAGATTCAACGTGCATCCTTCACGACCTGATAGTCTGAAATTACTTGGATGCATATTTTTAAGGGCAATAGATTGGGGAACCAGTCCTATGGCTTTTCAACGTATTCACCTATCCCTTCTATAACGTTACCAAGCATGTCCCTATTTTGCAAATGAGCAGTTTAAAATGAGTTTTTAAGAAAATAAACACAGCTCGAAATGAGTGTTTAAGATACACACATATCAAAATGTGTTTTTAAAAAATGGACATAGCATTTGATTTTGTTTTTCAAATTTCTATTTTGAGTATTGTCCTTTTTTAAATTATAAACTAATGATTCCAAAAATTTTGTTATATGATATCATTCATTTGCACAGATCACTTGATACATTTTATCAAATTAAGACTATTTTCTGAAAAGACTTTAAAAATCAAGTTGTTTTTAGAAGGTTGCTTCGAGTCCTATAAATTTATAATAGTAGTAGTAAATTTAGGTTGTAGGAATTTGAGACTTTCAAAATTCACTATCTTTTAGAGTACTGAATATAAAGACATCGCTTGAAAAGTTACATCTGTACAGCCGACAACAGAGTTTGGGAATTCACCCCGTAAATTATGCCTACTGCTTAAGTATGTAAAGAAAAGTAAGCATAAAATTCCTCGTTTAGTTGTTAAATTTGGGTTGAACGTGGAAAAGAGCTAATTTTTTGCTGTGTAAATTTTCTTAAACATGCATTTCGAGCTATGTCTAGAATAAAAAAAGCACACCGACTATCTCTTTTCCTTAGATAGCAGAGTTTTCTCCTAATTCAACCCATGCCATAGTGGTAGATTTAACCGTGGTCTTTATAATAGAAATCACAGTTCAATAATATATAAATCATGTTTTTATCCTAAATTTTATCTTAAATTATTTTGTATAAAGAAAGTAACTATTTCTGGATAAAAGAAACTATTTTCTAGAAAAGTTACTCCAGAAGAGTTATAATTCAATTCGAAAATTTCGATAATAACTTATTTAATATATGCAATTATGGTTGGAAAAAAAATTATATTGAAACTGATATTTCGAAATTTTTATAGAAATTTGGGCAAAGTTCTAAAAAGTTGGCCCCAAAACTACCTTTTTAATCTTTTGCTCCTGAATTATTATTATTATATTTTTTAATTTTCATTTATTTATTTATTATGGTTATTTTTTGTGGTAGTCAAAAATAAAGATGCATACATAATACTAAAGAGCCTGAATTAAAAAGAGTGCTGACAACAGGTTAGAGAAATTACCTGTAACATTAAAAACATCAAATAGTAACTAAAACTTAGTCTGGTACCTAAGCAAAAAGGAAAACTGTTAAAACAATGTATCACTGGGATGCTTGAATGTCATAGAATTGATATTTAGCAATAGTAAATTTAGCATAAGTAAATTTCTGAGGGGAAGGAAAACAAAGCAATAAGTGTCAAATCTTATGAAGTTTAAAAATCAAACAGAATGATTTATATAGTCTTTAGTTGAGCTGTCCTGACTTAGAGGCTAAGGCAATGTGATAATCTGAGGTCTTGAAGGTAACCTGAGCTGCTTGAAGCCTATCCAGCTTCAGGTTGATAGGTACCAGTCGGAAGTAAAGGCAACTAATGACATCTTGCAACTCAAAACATTATGGACCAAATATAGTTATTTTGACAAATATTTTGCTTTCAGAGCAAACTATGACTTTGTGCAAAAATTGCATAAACACTATTTTGTCAAGCCAATACAAAAATTAAATGAACTCACTTTTTTTTCTTCATAATATTTAAACACATTCAGTTCTGAGGGATTAATTCAAATAAATCTTGTTATTTTTATAACTATTTTCACGATATTGATTTAACAAAAAATGACATTTTCTATCAATTTCAGAAAATAAATTTTTCTTTAAGAACATAAGGTTTCAAACAAATGTGTAATGTTTCAATTAAAATCATACAAGTTAGAATTAAATAAAATAACACGCAATGCAAAAAATTACAGCATGGTCTTAAAAATAAATGAAAATTTTATTCTTAGTTGAATAAACATGATAAAATAGAAACAGTAGAAAAATAATCACAATACATATCTGCAACCGGCTTAAAAAATATCTCACACAGCAACAACTCTTCAAATCTCATACAAAACTAACAAAAAAGTATGACAAAATGAATTATATAACAAGTAATGAACAATGCTGCATTAAATTAAGCATGGTTGCAGGTTACTGTTGATAAAACTGCTGAATGCATCAGAAAAAGATTTTAAGATTTTTTTTTATTGTAAAGACATTTTTCAAAATTAGTAAATGAAAAATTGCTTAATTATTATGCACAGTAAAGATATGGTTCAAGATTCTTTTGTTATTAAAATATATGTTAGGAAAAATTTTAGAAATAAGACTGCATGACAAATTAAGTTTCTTTATAGCAGAAAATATCAACAGAGACCAGATAACCACAACAGCTTCAATGAAACACTTTTTTTGTATATCACAAATCTAATATAATCCTCAGTAAGGATTTGCTGTTTGCTTGTAGCAAGCATTCTTTGCTCCCACAGTAAGGCCAATAGCAAAACAGTAAACTCTTGAATCAATTATAACTCCTTGCTCACTAAAATCTAAAGAGATGAATAGTAAGTGAAAAGCATAACATTTTTTAGAACAAATCAAACTAATGCAATTATAAAACTATGCAAGTGCATATAACAAAGATTAGGTTTTTGAACTATTAAAATCAAAACTGAAATATTCTAAAGTAACAGAAAAAAAAAATCAACTTGTCTCACTATATAAGGCAACTGCTGGCAAAGAAAAGAAAAAATATATAAAATTTTACGGAAGTTTTGATTTTATAATTAGACTAAGATCTTTAAAGCAATTTTATAACTATAGAGTTTCAAGCATTTCTCTTGTTAGTATAATCCTTAATTAAGTAAAATGGAACTAGTTTTAGAATTTTTAAGATACAAACTGTAATTGTAAAAAAAATTCCCACATATATTAAATCCAAAAAATTTGTATTTAATACTTAAGTTTAAATACTACATATACCATGCTACTTAAAATATTAGTAGCGATGTTTATATCAATACAAAAAGCAATTTTTTAAAAGTTCTTAATGGTACAGTTTTATCCATGGTTGAAATCATCAAATACTTGACAATCCTGAACATAGGGTCATGGGAAATATGGGTCGCAACTTTCGACACATACTCCGCATTGGCGCATAATCCCAAAAAACCATTTTCAGACGAGAATAAAAAACGGCAGAGCATAATTCGCATCGCGCATCATCCACATCAAGATTTCTCTCTGAGATAAGAGGGCAAAGTATAAATAAGTAATAAAATAAAATAATTTGCATTTAAAAATGAAATATTTTATAAAAAAATTATGAACTGTTAGAAAAGAAAAAAAATATATTAAATATGAAATATTGGGTGAAAGGAAATTAGACGTTTTTAAAGTAACTGTTATTTAACAAGCAAGAACCTCATCCTTTCCACTCTACAGTGGAAGTCACACTTGTCAAGGCAACGGCACACCTGCCGAAAATAAATAAATTTTCTCCTGATGATCATTTTGTCAGATGGTTATTGCAGGGGGAAATAAAGTTCATTTCAAGTCCGGCTATTGTTCGGACGGCTTGGGTTTTGGCAGTCATGGGCAAGGGGGCTTCTTTAATAAGAGGACTCCTCAAAAATTTACGTTTTTGGAGCATGGTCGGAAATTTTAAAAAATTGGGAGAAAAGGGTTCACCAGGGTTTGAGATTTTTTTTACTTTTTTTAAAAAAATAAAAAAAATATTTTTCGATTTAAATCGGATTTTTTTTATTCAAATGCACTGTAAGAACTTTAATTTATAATTATAAAAACTTTATAAATGTTCAATAAAAATTAAATTAATATTAAAACTATATTATAAGAATATTTTACAAGCTCTAACAACCTAAAACAATTTTTCATTATAATACATAGTTTTCAATGCATAGCAACCATTTTGAAACAAATGCATGATTGATATAGATGAAATAAAGAATTTTCAATTACCAAACCATAATTTTAATTTAAAATTGTGATTTTTTTTCTCTTAAGTTTTAAAATGACAAAATAAATGTAACAGATTGTGTTTATAAATGTAGTCATTCATCAAAAAATAAATAAATATTTAATCTATATATTTTTATATTAAAATATTCATTTTGAATCCTATATCAAAAAAAAATAAGTTCAGCCAAAAAAAAAATTTTAAAAAATCTATGTACTCCTTGAAATTTTTTTTCACAAAATTTCTTTATAGAAAATCTGATAATGACTAAGATACTGTAAACATATTATGAGAAAAAAATACTTAAATGATTACTTTAATCTGCACATCTCAAGAATCAAAAGATTTTTAAAAATTTAATTTCAAATGTGTTGGAATTTAACACATACCAAGAAAGTAATTTCGTTAACTGAAATTAATTAATGCAGCAATAATAAATTTTAAAACTAATGCAGCAATTTATTTAAAATAAATTTTAAAACTAAGAAAAGAAATAATAAAAGTATCAATAATTTAAAACACTGTTTTTTAACTTTTTAAATCAATATATATGTAAAGAAATCAGTTGATTTAAATCAATGATTTTTCTTAAAAAAAAAAACCATTTGATTTAAATCCTGATTTAAATCAAGCTGATTTAAATCAACAAACCCTGTTTCTCACAGAAGTCTTTTATCCCTGATAGAAGATATTTAAAACTCATTTTTATGCAGGAGAGGAAAAAAATTTCCCAACTTACAATTTTTTTCTCATTAAATCATAAATATATACATATTGAAAAAAATTGTATGTTCCTCCTTTTTCGTACTTTGTGAGAAGTCATTGCTTTAAAAAATATTTATTTTAAAAACCATGAAATTTATGACAAAAACTGAAAAAAAATTAATAAAACCATTAGCAGAAAAATTACATGCCTGCAAATGGAAAACATTTCAAAGTAAATCTGTGTTATAAGAAACAAAACATGTTGATCATTTTATCACTTATTACTTCATTTGATCTAAACAGACTAATTCATCGATCTACTAATTTATGGATAACTGAAATGCAAATATTCAGATAACTGAAATGCAAAATTTATGGATCCATAAATTTTGCATTTCAGTTATCTGAAATAGTTTTATTTCTACAGTTTGGTGGGCCACAAAAATATTATTTGAGGGCCAATAGTGGCTTGCATCCCTTTAACTTTCTGGCTTTTCTGCAACACAAGCAGGGATCTTTCTGTGTTAGTAAAAGAAAAAGTAGTATATCAGAATTAAAATTTTATATAAACTTGCTCATTCAATTTTTATTAATTTTATTGGTCCTAATTTTTTATGTGAAAATGTTAACAAGGTTATGTTATTTCTCAAATCTGAGTTTTGATCATAAAAAAAAAATTACAATATAAATAAAAGTGAACAACAGAATATCCTATTTTGCCCTTTTGAAATGCTATACCAAAAAACATTTTTTTTAAACATTCATAATACTTTTATCTATATAATAGTTATGCAGAAAATATTAAAAGCAGCATACCATTTAATCTGTTTAAAAGCTCATTAACAGGAATATGAAGAACTTCAATAGCATCTAAGAAAAAGTAAACATATTGATTTATTTATAACTTTGTATAAAAAAAAAACAATATACCTCAGAATTTAAGTTTTCTTATTATCAAAAATAATAAATAACATTGGCTTGGGATACATTTATATGAGATAAGTACAGTAACTTTTACTTGTGATGAGTTACTATGAGAATTAAAAGTTATTTTCTAAATCTTTGTTACATTGTTCCCAACCCTTTTTGGATCACTGCCCATTTTGCAAGTCTAGAAATTTTTAACACCCCCTTATATAAAAAACAAAAAAACAATGTCACTGTCTTGTTTTAATTCTTAATATTTTTTTTTTTTTGATACACTTCTACAACCAGGTCTTCAAATTATGGAAAATATACCTAATAACCAATATTTCTGCATTAGAATCTATACCAATTTTTAAAAAAAAATAACTCAAAAACATTTTTTTTAAGTGTTTCCATATAAATAAATTCAATTTATCCCAAAGTAGTTTAAATTAAATACTTAATTTAACATTATTTTACTTACACATAACAAAACAAATGTGAATTTTGCTTTTAATTTCTAATGGCAGACTACAAAGGCACCTGTTAACAAAAAACAAGAGAAAACCAGAAAAAGCAATAGCAAAACCTACAGTTGGTCTCATGTCAAGAGGGCTGAATTAATAAAAAATTTGAATTGTCATGATGTTTATGTTTTTACTGCTATGGGAGAAAACGTGAAATAAGTAAGAATGTTTATGATTGTAATCAAGTTTATCCATCATCTGAGTTTTTTTTAGTTCAGATAACACTGAGAAAAACATACTTTAAAATCAAATCAGATAGTTATTTTTTAGAATAAATTTCATAAGTAAACAGCAAGGAAAACACATAAATTGTACAAGTAAATTGCATTGAAAATATACTCAAAACTCAATAAAATAAATTAAAAATTGAGAAATGTGAACAAAATTTTGTAAACAGCTCTTCGATACAAAACCAAAATTATTTATAAACTTTAATGTGCATTCAAAAATAATTTAATTTAACATCCCTAAAATACCCATAATCTTGCTAGTGCCCCTTAAAAGTCTCTAATGCCCGCTAGAAGTTGATCAAGCCCACATTGGGAACACGCAATTTAGAATGCAAAATAACAGAAAAATTATGCATGAAATGTAACATTTAGATCTGCTGAAATCAGCAAGAAAACATTAAACTTAACAGCATCTACATAAGTAACATAACTCTAAGATTGGGTTCAAATATAAAATTTTTGCAAATTTGTTAATGAAAATGAAACTAACATGAAAGTTTTATTTTATTATACAGTTGACTCGCTTTATAACGACCCCATCGGGACTGCCCCTATCTGGTCGTTATATCAAATGGTCGCTATATCAAAATGAGCAAATTTCATTTGAAAATCGGTCACATAATGGTTTTAAACGTCATAATGCGTGCATATACTATTTGTGGTATACATGTTATAAACCAAAAAAGGATAGGATGCATACATTAATAAAACATAATGACATTTTAACAATTGAATTACAACTGTTAACAATTAAGAATTTTATTTTAAAGTACTGATTAAAAAACAGACAGAAAAAAAATCTAGTTTCTAATGAATTAATTTTGTGATGTACATAATTTGCGGTATATATAACGAATTTTTTTATGTACATAATCTGCAGTATTAGAAAGAAGAGTAAACCGAGGAACATAAACGAGGCTTCATTAGACGAAGACATTAATTTTTTGATGTGCCTTAATTTGTTGAAGTAACATGTTAAGAGGACTTAACATATGTGTGCTTGTTCAAGGTCAACCATTCAACCCCACTTTCCAATAGGAAGTTAGAAAAGAGCGGTGTTCAAATTCAGAGAGGGTCGTTATATTAGGAGTTGACTTTTTTTACGGTCGTTATAGCAAGAGTAAAATAACGTTATCTTCTATGGATGTGAATTGGGACTCCTTCACAGGGTCGTTATATCATGTTGGTCGTTCTATCCCAGGGTCGTTATAACACGAGTCGACTGTATATTTTTTCCAGCAACTTTAAATTTTTCAATTTTAAAACAAAAACTTCTGTTAATGCTTTAAAAATATATCAAATTTATGCTTTTGACCCAAATATTGAAACTTCAACTTTAATATGGAAGGCCAAAATATTTTTCAATTAAACAACAGCAAAAAAAAATGCTAAAATGCGATGACAACTTTCAAAACAGCTTAAAATTTTGCATTTTGAAGAAAACTTTTTCATAATGCACCTTACTTAGATAAAACATTTAGACTGACTTCAATGATGCAACATATTATCATTTGCTAGGTGAAACTTATTATTTAGTTATGTCATGAGTTAACAAGATTCTTATTTGCATGAAAACACAGATTGCACTTGTTAATATGAGAATACTGCTTCTGCACTCTCATAAATGCAACATCTTCCATTTTAGCATGAGATTTTAATTGAATAAAGTGAAAGTAAACTTTATGCTCTCCCATTTTATTTTTAAATTAAAATTTTTAATTTAAAATATTTCGACTATATATATGAAATTTTAATAAATATATAAGATTCTGTTTAGAATTTTATAAGTAAAAAATTAAAACAAAATATATCTTAACTGTTATTTCATTAAGTGGACAGGTAAGACTTCCGGGTAAGCATCTATGCACTGTACTAAACTCAAAAGCTATTATGTATTGAGTTGAAACAGTGAAATGCTGATACAGCTTGATACCAACTGCATAAATAATTGTAAAATGGAGGTTCACTACAGTGCATAGGATTATGTAATTGCACATTTCTATTCATTCCTCTTCATTATAACTCATTTTAAGTATTCTCTTAAATGTTTAAATAGAAACGAACATAAATTGCATTTAAGTGTTTAGATTTACTCATATGTTATGCATAAGCTCAGAGCATAATGATTTTTTTTTTTCTAAATTATAATTTTTTAGCTTTTTTTTCATTTAAATCAATTCCAGACCCAAAATTTTAACATAAATATTCATTATTAGAATACTTTTTTACATTGGAAGTTAAAAAACATTCTGATACAACTTGTTTCACAATTTAACACCAATTAGAATTGAATTGAAATTTGTGACAGTTAAGCAAGCTAATACAAAGCAAAATAAATCATTCTTAATTATCAAAATTTAAAAAAATGAAACACTAACATCAGCAAAATTAAAAAATCTTTTGTGCTAAGAGATAAAACCTATAGCATAAAATGCAATATCATGCAATGAGATCTACTTATATTCTTAAACAAAAGTAAAAAACAAGAACTATTTACATAGCAAATGTAAATATATTATTAAAGAGCAAATTAATTGCCTAAAGATATTTAAAAAATACTCACGAAAATCATGATCACACTGCTTAGGATAATGATTTTCAAGAACATCCCCATCCACCTACAAAAAATATTTATTACAATAATATGTAACAGGTTATTTACAATTTTCACGGTAAAAGATAAACAGGTATATAAATAGAAAAAATTATACTGATAATTGGAAATTCATTTAGGATTCTTATTATCAGAGTTAACATAAACTAGAAAAATTCTAATCACAGAGTATTTATTTCAGGGTCACTACAAATTGTAAGGTTAAAGGCAAAACATTTCTTTTTGATAAAAATTACCGTGTATAAATTATATTTTGTTTAGAAAGTAATATATTAATATTTAAGAAGCATAATTTAAGATTTAAACAAAAAATATCTCAAGATAATTAGCCTCTTAAAATTTCAGGTAAACTATTGTGAGTTAGATCCATGTAGTAGTTTGTTAACTGTAGTTTTATGTGATAAAAAGTTTTGATCCAAGTTATAAAAATTTAAAACAACTTTTAAATTAAATAATAATTCTTCAAAGTGTAAGGTCGTCAAGGTTAATATTTAAGAAAAAAATGTCTTGATATACTTTAGAGATGAAAAAATGTTCAAAAGAGATGAAAAAGTACTTGAGGTTTCAAATTGATTAAATTCAAAATAATTTGAGCATTCTATAGAGATTAAAATTAGAATATTGTGAAGTTTAACATTAACTTAAAAGTATACTGTTACGCTTCATTCTCATTAAGCATCCAAACAATCTCTTAAAAAGATAAATAGTATAATTTTGGAATTATAAACATTTTTAGTTGTCAATTTTTTGAAAGCAAAAGCAAACATTTTCCAGCTCAGATTAACATTGAATTCCAAAATTATACTAGTTTAGGTGAGCAAGATAAGCCAACATCATAATAGTTACCAACAGTTAGATTATTTTTTAAGGAAAAAAAAAGAATTTTCTCAGAGATAGATAAAGAAGCAGAGTAAATACATTTAAGTAAAAGATTTTTTTTATAACATTTGTAAGCAATAAATGTTTTTCTTCACTAATGGTAATGAGTCCTGTAATAATAGATGGAACAGTTATAATAACTATATTAATACATTGATTATATAATTGATATAAAATTTTAAAAAAGTAGAAAATTTTCAGAGCAATATGACCCATCATTTTCCTTTTTTATCTATAATTTGTTTTCCTATTTTATTCAAAACTTCGTATTAGATATTAGAACACTGCTTGAAGAATTATGTACACTGCTGGCCACCATAAATGCAACACCCTGAAGGAAGCATGCAAATGACATGAAATTTACAACATGCATTAGCGGAGGTGAGATATGCAAATGATTTGAATTTTGCAGAATGATTAGAATTAGCGCAGATGCACATTACGTGCGCCTGTGGCGCCACTTCAAAGTGCTATTTAAGGCTTAGAGATTTCGACAATATCAAGTTTGGCAATTGTTTTTCTTGTGGTTTTTTCAAAAAACGATCAATTATGCCTCGTAGAAAACAGCGATCATCTTTTGATCAAGTATACGAGTTCGACAGAGGAAGGATAGTGGCCTACCGAGATTGTGAATTATCTTTCAAGGAAATCAGCAGTCGTGTTGGATGAAACCAAACAACTGTGATGCGGATATGTGATCGTTGGATGCAGGAGGGTACGCTAGACCGAAGTGTTCGATTGCATGCACCACTTCACGTGATGACAGGCGAATTGTGCGCATGGCAGTGACTGATCACTCAGTCACATCAAAAACCATAGCACAGCTCATTCAGTCTGTAATGCATCATCCAGTGTCTACGTGTACCATTCGACGCCGTTTACAGCAGAGTGGTTTGTTTGCAAGACGTCCATTGCTTTGTCTACCCTTGATACAGAACCATAGACGTCTCCACCGCCAATGGTGCAATGAAAGAAGGATGTGGAAGACAGAATGAAATCACGCTTCTGTCTGCAACACCACGATGGTCGCATTCGAGTCTGGAGACACCGTGAAGAGAGGAGGCTGAACAGCTGCGTTATGCACCGCCACACGGGTCCTGCACTGGGTATTATGGTATTGGATATCACTCTCGCACTCCTCTAGTATGCATTGCCGGTATTTTAAACAGCCAGCGCTACATCTCCGAGGTGCTGGAGCCAGTTGTCCTTTCTTACCTTCAGAGCTTGCCTACAGCCATATTTCAACAGGATAATGCGCGGCCACATGTGGCACGCATTGTCCAAGGGTTCTTCGTCAATCGCCAGATTAAATTGCTTCCCTGGCCAGCTCGCTCTCCAGATCTTTCGCCGATAGATAACATGTGGTACATGATTGCTCAACGATTGACCCAGATAACATCCCCAGCTGCCACACCAGATCAACTTTGGCAAAGTGTGGAAGCTGCTTGGTTTGCTGTACCCCAAGAACACATCCAAAGTCTCTTTGAAACGATGCCAAGGCGTGTGACAGTGGTGATCTCCAACAATGGCAGCTACTGATTTTGGCTGAACTAGCGTTAATAAATTCACGAAGCAGAAAAAAATACAAGATCAGAGTAAAAAAAATCTAAGCACATTGTTCAAAATTGGCACTTGCGAGACAAAATGTGTGATCTTTACTCATTTTTTGTTTTTAGATAAAATTTCAACAATATCCCTCAATACTTACTATTGTTTGCAAATTTGCTTTTTTGTTTACATTTGCAAATAAATATTGTTTCGGAGTTTCGAATTAAATTTATCAAAGCATAAGAATTCTTTGAAACTCTTGATCAGTTGTAGGTATATCCTCTGATATTTACTCATCTTAATCATTTTCATTACTATCATTGGGAGCACACATTAAACCAGATAATGAATGAAACAAGTCATTGACTTCATATTTAAAAAAACTACACATTTTCAAAAAAATTTTAAAAAGTACAAATCTGGTTATAATAGAAATTAGCCAATAGGAGCTCTTAACTGTAGAATTAGGACATAACACATTAAAATTTTTGTAACAATAAAAGAATAATTTAGAGATTTTATTCATAAACTTCTTATGTAATCTGAGAAAGAGAAGAACAAAAATATACACAAACAATATTAAATGGATGGCAACTAGAGCGTTTTAAACATAAAAATTTCCTTAGTTTGATTTGAAATTTCATTGTTAAGTAAAAATTTTTTGAAAGAATGGAATTAGTTACAAACTTTATAATTAAACATTGCATTAGTTTTGAATTAAAAAAAAGCTTTTTACCTCAAGAGTTACAACTTTCATGGTAGAGTTAGTTAAACCTGGATCAAGGGCTGTCACTAAAATAACATCATAAATTGAGAATAGAGAACTAATTTTATTATTCAACAGTAAATTAGAAAAATTCAAACATTTACTAATTTAATAAAATAGTTTAAAAATGTGATGACAATTTTAACAAAGTTTTAAATTAATGTTACTACACATTTTAAATTTATTAAAGTACAGCAAAATACAAAATAATTTAAAAACCTGCTTTCTTTTCAAAAAAATCAAATATAAAAATTAAAATTTTTAATTAAAAAATTACAATTCTTCATTCCAAAACAGAATGAAAATATTTTTTCATAGGTGACAGCTTTTGCACATTTTGCATAGCACTTTATTTTCACATTTAAAGTGGTAACAAAAAATAGGCCTTCGATTTAGTTTTTGGATTTAAAAACTTCATTTGATATGATTTTGACCACCACTATATAAGTAAATCAAACATAAAATCAGACTATGTGTGTTTGAACTTTTAAAGGGAAAATAACATATTTCTGCCCATAATTATAATTCAATTTTCATTTTACTACCACTGGGAAAAATCATTCTTAAAATGATTAAGGTTGGTAGGTATATTTTTAAACCTCTAAGTAAAAGTCTGTTTCACTTCTTTTTTGTTTTACTTTAATCTTCAACTTTGCTTGATTAATCACTTAATCCAAACACAACTTACAACAGATTCCTGATTACATAACATATCTGATAATCGTGCTCCAATATTGGAGGATGCTGCTTGCAACTTATTTACATTTTTTAACATATACTATACTAATATGAAGACAGCAGTGCAATATGTTGAAATATGTGCCTCCCCTCCCTCTTTACATGCTAGGTTACCTTATTCTAGATGCAACCAGGAAGAATAACTATTTTCTTAACTAGTTACAATAGTAATGATCAAATGTAACCACAGCCAATAAAATATGGATTCTTCAGTGACCTTGAACCTTCAATAAAGAAAAAAAATAGCTAAAAATAAAATTTATTATTACAGCAGTCAAGAGAGGGACAAAAGCTGCGAAAGATGTTTTGTGATGTCAAAAATATTTATGACATAACACAACATAAATTTAGAATTAGTAAAACTAAGAAAGAGGAAATTCCCTCTCCAGGATGGACAGTTTCAAATATGGAATGGGGGAATAAAATGTTTACTTCTTTCTCCCCTAGACCTCTTGCTACCACTAGCACAATGAACTGTGCGAGAAAAGGTCGGGAATGTCAGCAGAACATAACAAAAATTAAACTAATTGTTCTTTTGATCACTAGTTGTAGCAAGTGATTTTAATTCTTTGTTTGTTTTTCGTTTTATTTCAAAATTTTAATTTATTGTGGAGCAGTACTTTTAGCTAGGCTTGTTCCAGCTGTATAGAAAAGGGTGATATGCTGAATTCTGAGAACAACAGGTTTCCTCCCAATTAAAAGATCAGGGTTCTAAAGAGCGATATACAATTTCAAAAATAAAGATCTTTTTGTTAATTATTAAAAAATTTTAATATTTTGAAAACAAAACAGTTAAACATAAAAAAATTCATTTAAAAATTACTTTGTAAAAGAACTTGTTTAAGAAAGAAAAAACTATGATTCTACTTAATGAAAAATATCTTTAATAAGACAAAATCTTTCATCCACAAACCTTACGCTTCAATTATTTGTTAAGAAATATATACATCAGTGAAATATAGTTTACAGATTACTAAAAATAATAAAATATTTTCAAAAAAATATTTTTTTTAGATGATATAGGAAATGCTGAAGTAAAAACGAGGAATAACTATCACTGAAATTGATTAGAAAAGACAATGCAAAATAAAAAGAAAACATACTTTTAAGCAAAAATAAAATTAATTATAAATTTCAATGACAAATGAATGAATTTGATTTCTTAAACGGAAGCAATGTCCCTATTAAAATATTAATAGTTCAAAGTCCTGCTCCATTTTATTTTTGGTAATTTCTATAAACTCAGTAGGAGAATTTGTTTGTAGAAACTCATTTTTTTTCTTTTTCTTTTTTTTCCTTCTTTCAAATTTAAATTTCTTTCTTTCAAATTTAATCTCTTTTTTTTTGCAGTAGCACTCTGACAGTTCTTACGCCAGTCGATCGGCAGATCATTATCAATTTATGTACTCGCTCATTTTTTTTCTTTTTTAAATCTTTATTTCCTATACATTGTATGCATTAGTTCACTAAAGGGGCAGAAATTTTAAATCAGCGTTGAAAATAAATAAAAAAGAAATACAACTAAAAGTATCTGCAGAAATTGGATCAATGCATATAATAAAAAATAAAAAAACTCTAGTTTTGAGACAATTTGAAAATAAAATATTTATAAAGAAAATATGGATGAGAAAAGAGTAAAAATATAGCACACTAGTTTAAGTTACAAATCAGAATTTGTAACCCCATTTCTAGATGACGTCATACAGTTTTTCCTCAATCAAAAACTTCTTTCCCTTATTTTAATAAAAAATCATAAGTAAGAAAGAAAAAAATGTTTTCAGAGCAAACATTGCAAAATACGTTTGAAATTTTGGAAAATTTTCTGTAAAACTATGTTTTTGAATAAATCCATTATGATCGCAAGCTTATCATGCATGGCTTGTTAGAAATGAATTCTCCCTATAGATCGCACATTGTGACAACTGAACTTTTAAACACAGATAGATCGTGACCTATCTACCGGAAATTCTGTATATGTACATTTCCTTACAGTTTTTAGATATTATAATGGTAGTTAAGAAAAGTTTGTAATAAATGTCTGCTGCTTTTTGACTTAGTCTTTAATCACTCATATTTGTTCTTGAAACTATTATGTATGAAAATATCCAACAAAATAGAGAACTTATAGAAAATCTTAAAGTGAAATATATTCTTTGTTAAACTAAATACTTTGAAATTTATATTGCCAAGACTTACAGCGACTAACATGTTTTACACTAGAGCAGATATATCCAGTTTCTTCTTTTAGTTCTCTGATTGCAGTTTCTTCAGGCTTTTCAGAAGGATTAACAATACCTAATAAATCAAAATAATATTTCTCTTATATAAGCAGGGTTGGAACCAAATTCATATAATGGGAAAACTACCCCTATCATTGGGTATCATTTAACCAACAAATTAGCAAAATTTATAAAGCATAGTCTTTACACATAACAGAGGTGATAGCTTTTTAAGTTTAAATCATTACTAGTTCAGTAAATGATTTAAGTGTTTTGTCAACAGAGATTAAATTAAAACTTAAACATACCCAAAAAAAATTTTAATAACTGTATCACCATAGAAATAACAATTTTAGTTTAATTGCAAATTACTACAGTATTCTCTTCATGTTACTTTTTCTTTTAAATAATAAAAGATAAACAAAACAATAATACTATTTGTTGACTTTGAATTTGTTATAGATTTATCCATTTCACTAGGGAGTTATAAAATTATATGGTTAATTATAATATTTCTTTATAAAGTAGGCCTAAAATAATGAAAAATAATTTGAACAAAAATTAAAACTAAAAACAACAAGTGATAAAATTTAATTATTTTATATGGTTTGTTGTTTATTACACAATAATAAACAGAATTAAAGTTTTGATAAAATACTTTATCAATGATTTTATCAAGTGAACAACAAAAAAACATTTATTTATAGTTTTTTCTTACTTAGAGGATTTGATGTGCCAACAAATAATTGATACTCAATTTTAAAAATAAAAGTATCACATTTTCATAAAAATTGAGGAAATAGAGCATTTTAAAGTTTAAGAAACATGTAAAATTTTGAAGATCTAAGTGAAAAAGGTAATTTCATTTTTACTATATATTTTACTATTTACGAGGAGTCCAATAATTACTCTTTTTTTTTTTTTTTTACTATACCGATCAAAAAGTACAGTTACTTTTGTCTTGAACTAATCACTTAGCCATTTCTTAGGATGAAAGAATAAACACTGCACACACACACACTGGCCAATGAATTAGAAACCTAAGATAAATATTTTTTTTAAATCTTCTTCTGCACGAATAACAGTTCATATTAAGTATATATTGTAAGGGCATCGATTCAAGAAGTTTCTGAAGTGCATTTGTATTCATGCATTGGCTAATCAAACATCAAGATTTTCGTAAATTAGATGGAAGAAGATACTATAGGATATGCCTATCCAACATGTCTAAAACATTTTTATTAGGTTATGATCTGTTTTTTCCAGTGGCCAAGGAAAGTGTTGGAAGTCAGATTGATGTTCATTAAAAGTATAACAAATGGAATTCTTTTTTAAAAAATGAAGACCAAAATTTTAAATACAATAAGTCAAAATGGTATGCGCTATGTATCACCTTCAGAGCAAAAATGTGACATTCTAGGAGACATTTAATTTTCTTATGTGTCCAGGTAATGTATGGCTTTTTTATTTGTCCTTAAACACCAATTCCATGGCAACAAAACATGTTTCACATCATGATGCTTCCACCAGACCTTTGTACAGTGTGAACAAGGAAAGAAAAACTTTCACAAGTTTCTGGTTCATTAGCTAGTGTGTGTATCTCCTGTTGTTTAAAAGCAGAAGTTCAAAAAACAAAACTACTTTTTTGCATCCATTTCCTTGATAAATTAGGTAATACAGCTAATTATAAAATTAATACATATTTATGCATTAAACAACTATTATTGTAGTAACATTTTTAAACTGAACTCTTAAAAATATCAAAAAATAAAATAAAAAAGATTTGTAAAAAGCTTTAGATGAATAGTCCCCTTAAACAAAGTTATAGAAAAAATTTAGTAGCAAGTTGAAAGCATACCAGCAGGGAATTCCAGTGTGTATTGTTTAAGAGCTGGTCTATATTGCTTCACAAGTATTAAGCAATCATACTTCAGCAAACGTCTTAGAACTGCCAGAGACCCTACACCTAAAATAATGTTAGGAATTTAGTGACCCAATTTTCTGGTTAAACACTAAATTGTTTAACTGATTAACTGTAAAACACTAAAAAGTTTCGTTATTTTTTTTTTTCAATCTTCCTATAAAACATAAATCAAATAACTATAATCAACTTTAAAACTTGCATATCAGAATCTATAACTTACATAAAAATTTATATTTTTAGAATAAATACATAGCAATATAAGTTCACAATTACTTAATTATTAAATTACCAAAAAATGCTCTTTAAATAAGAACCCACAATAGTGTTCAAACATATTTTTGTTTAATTAAAAAATTTATATACATATATTTTTTCTTTGAAATACATTTAGTTTGGTTTTAATCTTAGTTTGGGAAGCTCAACCCTCAGTGCAGCTATTTTATTTTCACAGTACACTACTTTTTATGTTACTTCATCGGATATCTTAATAGATGGCTCTTTAGAACTTGACAACTCTCCTCATTTTGGAATCAAATGTTGCTGATACATATGTTGAGCAGAATTAATATTTTTTTCTCATAATATGTTTCAATTAAAAGCCTATGCTTGTCTCTTATTTTGTCATTCCACTTAATTCTCAGCCATCACATACATATTTATCGCTTCCAGCAAAAAGCCTGTATTTTCTTGAATGACATTAGGTAAAATTTTTCCAAAATGTAGCAATGCAGTTAAGCAGAAATTATCTTTCGTTAATCAAGGATTTAGAGCCGAAAAATGGAGCAAACATTTATTATGAAATGGAAAATTCTTTAAGATATACTTACTGGTTGCGACATAAGCTTCTCTTAAAGATGTAAAAAATTTTTATCTACCCACTTCCTACTATTTTTTTGGGGGGGGGGGGTTATTCTTAACTAGAGCATATGCTTTTGACCCTACATGTAAAAACTTATCACTTAGTTGTTTATCTGCGTCTAAGATAAAAACATTTAAATTAGATCCAATACTTAGCAAATATTCTGATTTCATAAAAAATGAAAAAAACAAATTTAATAAAATCAAATAACTCAGTATGTACTAAATGGAGAATTGCTTCATGTAGAAAAAACTTCACTAACTTATTAAAGTGGGGTAAAATTACATAATTAAAATTTAAGAAATAGTCCAACTTTTCATTCTGATCAAACAGAGTCAATAGAATTATGTCTTTTCAAGATTGATCAGCATCTGATCTCTTTTGCTTCTTGATAGTTGGCTGAATGCTTTCAATAGATAACTTTAGACTTTCACAAACACAGTTCTTTTTAAATATTTAAGCTGATAAAAATTTACATTTCTTATCTTCTTCCTACGAAACTTGCACTAATATATCAATAATGCATCTTTTATATAAACAAGTATATCGCAAATTGTCGGCAACTTAAAATCCAAATTTGAACGTCATTATAACATTGTATTAAAACATCAGAATTTAAAAATCAATAGCGATCTGCCTAAAAACGATTGAAAATCTATGGAAATTTGCAATGGAATAGTCACGAATCAAGCACGCCAAAAATTTATTACTTTAAGACAAGTGGAAACTTTTTAGGATAATATTTTAATTACAAGATGAAACAGGAGAAGAAACATAACTGATAAGAGTTAAATCTATTTCACTAATTTCTAATTATAGTAACACTAGAATATGTTACCACTCCAAAGTTATAAACAATAACTAAAACATTTTCTTAAAATGAATACATCTATTTCCTATCAATCCTTATCTTTGTTTAAATATTGAGCTTTTGGTTGCAAGAGTAAAATGACGATTAAAAAATTGAAAAATAATTTGAAAAATAACTTAAAATTTAAAAATCCATTGACTTTACTAAAATTTGTTTTATATTATAACAATAATAATAAAAGGGCAGAAAATAAGAAGCGTAATTGTACTTTCACTTCATACTAGAATTAGGAATTTTATCCCCACAATGCGAAAAATTTAAATTATTACAGCTTTCAGATTTGGATTTTTGACTCCAAAGATATAAACCTCACTTTCAAAGATAGGATCCCAATAGTTTAGTCAGAAGTTCATTATTGTCATTCATTTGTAATTAAAATATTAGATTGTAAATATTCTTACATACTTTTAAAGGATAAAATCTCAATATTAATCAAATCAGTTGAAAAATTAATAATATATAGAGAAAACAATTCAAAAATATAGATGCAAAGAATTGACTTGCACAATTAGTTCTAAAGATATAGCAATAGCCACAAGAAGTAAAATTAAGAGCACCAAACTTTGAATTGATTTCCTGATTAAATTACTGAAACCTTATTTTCAAGATTTCAGCTACTCTCAATAACTAGGGCGAAAACTGAAATCTGTTGAATAAGAAGTTAATTCAAAAAACTTTTTTTTGTCTGAACTATTTAGCATATCTCACCAAGGTATATAAAGTCTAACAAAATTTTAGTGCAATGCTACTGAACATAATAACTAGAGATAATGAACTCTTTATTAAGAGACTATTTAAAATTTTCAAACAAACCAGTAATTATAAGTTCGGGTCATAAAATAAGCAATTTCATGCTGAAACTTTCACACTGATTCAAATTCTTAGAATTGAGAAGTTCTATAATGCATTGTTCTATTCAAGCCTTTTGGATTTATCTTTGTATTGATTGCAGTTATAATTATGTAACATAAATAAATTAATAAAAACACTTTCATAAATCCCATTCAAATCATATCACCTCTCTTTTTGTAGCCTTATTGGGATAACTGCAATGTATATAGCTTGGAGCTCAATGAAATATAAACCGTTATTGATAAACAATTATCAAATCTAACTCATTGAAATAAAGTTCTTGTCAAAAATATTCATCAAAACACATAAACAAGACGGAAGAATAAATACTTACAGTCTGGATTTCCTTCTTCTGGCTTAGAAACTCTTGTAGCAACTTCCCAAGTTCTGTAAGAAAAGTTTAAAATCAATAAGATTATAAACTATTAAAATCAATACACTAATTTTGTCTACATTAAAATTAAGGCTCAATTTCTTTACATTTTTGTATTAACTAATTTTATGACACAGAAATCCGATTATGTTTTAAACTCTTAATTAAAGGCAAAATTATACAGCAGTTTCTTTGGATCAGATTCAATTATAAAAACTCATGAGTTACATAAACAAACCAGGATTGGCAAAACTCTAATCACATAAGTTGCAAGACTGAATGATGACCTTAGAGATGAGGTTTGAATGACTGGTTTATGGTGTGATTCATAAATTCTATGCAATTTTTGCTTTCCTTCACCTCTACCTCTGAGATAAGTTTAAAATCGAATGTGGCATCTGTGCAAGGAGGGCCATAAGCCAATAATAAATATTTGAATATGTTAAGACTTTCAATGAAGAAAACTATTTAATATCAACAGTAAGCTCTTTATTAACTATTATATTTGTGTGTAAAATTAAAATTTAATTGTATAATGCTTTAAGGATCTCATATAATTTTGATTCACTCTAAGAAAGACTCTGATAATTAGATTTCTTTTCCTTCTTTTCAATAAAGTTTTGAATTATTTATCTTATGCATTCTGTTTATTTGATAAACTAGTCTTAATCAAAATAATCACAGAAATCAAGTTTTATTCCACATTAATCAAAATCTATTAATTTCTATCTAATCTAATATTTATTTAGTTTTTTTTTTGCATTAATAGCAAGAAAATTAATAACTAATAAATAATTAAGTTCAGATAAATGAATTTTGTATGCAAACATTTTTCAGTCCACTTAAAAATTTTGAAATATGGCGAAATATGTAAAAAGTTAAATTAAAGGGCTCTAAACTTTGGACCGCTCTCTTGACCAAACTATCGGGACCATATATCTCAGGTTGCAGCTACTCCTTACATTTTGAATATGGGAAATTCAAATCCATCTAAAAAGAGCAGATCTGGTAACTTTGAAGAAAAGTTTTCAGGAGCATTGATTAAAAACATCAGGAGTTTCGGGAGTCATTTCAGAAGTATAACATGACACAAATTTAGTTATATTTCTATGCATAAATTTAAAAACTATATAAATAGAAGGACATATTTAACAGAAAAATATTGAAAATGGAAAATTAATAGTTATTGAATAATATTCAGACCATCTTAGATTATGAAATCATGACCAAATTATCTTTGATAGTTGGTAAAAATTAACAGAACTATATTATTCACTTTTTTTATCAGTTTCAAAAACGCACACTTAATTTTAACGGGACAATATGAAATGAGAAAACTATGAAAGAATTGTAGACAGAATAATTATGAAGCCTCCGGAAATTCCGGGATAGTTACCATGCATGAAAAAGGCATGTTTATTCTCAGAAAGTATGTTTTTGTGTCTGATTTTGCAACTAAAAATATTGTCTGCACTAATTAATTAGAATATTTGAGCATATTCTCTTGAACCATTCAGATGGAGTCCTAGAACTGAGTCCAGTCTGATCATTAGATCGAAAGTCATTCATAGTAGCCCATTTTTTATTTTGCATAGAGTACTTCTGAATAAAATTCAATTTACATCATTATCTGTTTTGTTTTCACAGTCAAAGCGCACCATAGAAAAGTATATTACTAATTAGAATAAATAAATGACTATTTGCTGAATAAGGCAGTAACTTGCTAGTTATCTTTCTAATCATTCTAATTTAAGAAAACTAGGGTGTGTGGGTAAACTAGGGTCTTTCAGTGATTTTTCTATATTAGACACCTAACAATATTTAGGAAAATTAAATTACCTTCGCTGATTCTTTTAGAAGCAAAAAGAGCCATGATTTTTCAAATAAAGGTGCAGGGGCAATCTAGTAATTCAACCATGATCCCGTAAATTCTGAAAATTCTTTGAAAATGTAAGCAAAGAATAGTGGCAATTCAATTTCCCCGAGTCTTAATACCTAAAACTTGAGGTACAGAAACTGTGGTATAATTATGCCTTTATTTTTGCATATTTTCACAATGAGAAAAATTAAACAATAAATACTTAAAAATGTTTTAACAAAATTTTTATCTATATTTAACAAAAAAAGAAATGTAAATACTAAATAAATTAAATCTGTTTATACTCAAAAATTTGATTTATTAAACACAATGATGGTTTAAATCAAGTGCATTTAGTTGTCCTGAATGATGTTTTATATGCTCCTAAGAATGATTAAGGTAATGACAAATATAAGCTTAATGTAATGAATAATTCAAATTTCATTATCATAACTGATTTAAAGGGAAAACTAGTGTAAAATACACATATATACAAAGACATATTTATATACGAAGACAGTCTAATATTGTCAAGAGGGCGATAGTCAAAGTAACACCAAATTGAAGTGGTTTAGAATAAAAACTAGGGGAAATCTTGCAAAAATATCCTGATGAACTCTATAGTTACAGGCAAAAAGGCAATTATTGTTTCTTATAACTCGTTTAAAAAATAAGTTGAAAGAATTTGCCAGTTCTCACTCTTGGTCAAGAGAAAACTTGAAATGTTAATTCTAGCTTATGTTAGTTAATAAATTATAAGAACATGTTTAATTTTGAATAATAAATTAAGAATGAGAATTTAGATAAAGAAATAACAAAAAAATTTGTTAAATCTTTCTTTGTTACATCTCCCTTCCCAAAAAATTTTAAAAACCATCAAAAAAATTTCAAAAAATTTTAATTTACTAGCAATATTTTACTTATGTGAGAAGCACAATTAACATAAATAGCCAAATTTTGAAATATTAAACAAATAATCAATATATAAAAATAATATGTTTTGTAAAAACTCTAGTAAAAATGATAAAAATTTAACACAATAATGTTACTAATTAGACACAAAATTGCTGGAGATGAAATGTTTGTAGGCCTACTTATTAATAAAAAGAATTTTTTAAAAAATTAGTTTTTATGACTTTCTTTCAGTTTGAAGTCATTTGTTTAAATTGCTTGATTAGTCTTTCATCAAGAATTACCATTCTTCATCCTTACAAATTTCGATTCTTTCACTTCAAATTTCAAATATCTACATACCTACATTCAGGTTCAGTTCACTTTGTAAATTTCGGGGGGGGGGAATCAAATAAGGTAAACCAGAATACTGAAACTCACCTTTCAACTGCTTCATGATCTTTATAAGTATAATTTTCTAAAGCAATAAATTCCCCTTTAGACAAAACCTAGAAAATAAATCATTTATAAGTAAGATGAATATTAAAATGTTTTACATCCATAAAACCATAGTTAATTTCAATTACTCTAACTTAAAAAACATTAAATGAAAAATAAATTATCTAAGTTTCAAAAGAACTAATTTAAAAATATAGTAGAATGTCAATTATCTAATGCAACAGGGACAATCGACACTAAGCTTTTTTTTTCTCTTGGTAAAGTTCATATTCTTTCTTACAAAGCAGATTTCCCACATAAATTTTAATACTTTTCTATGCCGATTTTTTGATTTTTGGCAAAATTAGGCATGAAAGTGGACAAAAATAAAAAAAAGTTGAACTTTTAAGATGCAGGTAGGTGAGACGAGAGGAGGTGCACAACTTACAGTCTGCCAACTCTCGATGTGCGGCTTGCAGCAGAAACCTGAACAAAATTTTATAAAATAACAAAATTTTTAAATTTAAAAAAAAAAAACGGAAATAGCGCATTTATGTTTTTGACCCACCCAATCTCAATCAATGTAACTTTTAGATCACTTTTTTTATGGTTAAAGCTACAGATTTACAAACAGTTTTGAAAATATCTTATTTTTAACTTCAGTTATCACTTTTGACACTCTTTATGTGTGCGGATTTCATCATAAATTACATTACTTTTCGGTAATTATTGCTACCGTTTTCATGTAGTTTTTTCGCGATTTTTTAAAATATTTTTTGCGTCTTTAAAGTTTAGAATGGGGCATTTAAATAAACTCGTTTTCGAAGAGCTTTATTTGCGCAAATCTCAATTACTATTGCTACACATTTCTACATGGTCTTCAAAATTTCAATATTTTTAGCACGATATTATTACGAATCACTCTTTTAGATAAAAACTTTTTGATGTGGATTATTTGTGCTGATTTTGTCGCAAATCAAGTTATTTTTCAAACGTTAGTTTGCAAATTATTGCTACACATTTCTAAAAGGTTTTGAAAGACCAGATATTTTTTATACGCTTATGCGATACTTTAATTACAAAGCTCGCATTTAAATACTTCAGTTTTTGACGCGCTTATTTATGCCGCTTTCATCGTAAATACAAAGAGATTTTTATAGTTTTTCGGTAGTTATTGCTACGCTTTCCCCCGTGATTTAACAAATTCTCATACTTTTAATACTATAGTTTCAGGGCACATGAGTTTTGAATCACACATTAAAATAATCACTTTTTACATGCTCTATGTTTGCAAATTTTAACATAAAAACATTAGAAGTTTTTTGAACTTTTTTTTGCTGCAGTTACTGCTGTATTTTTACTTGTGATTTTAAATATCCTAATATTTTAACACAACACTACTATTACAACTACACAACATACTACAACTCATGAACTTTGATTCTGTTTTAAATTTTTTATTGTAACTTAAAAAAGAACTAAGTATCTAAGCATACATATCGATACCTTCCCAGAGAAAATAAAATTATGTTAAACACAGGTCTCTTTTGCAGAAAACTAATTCAATACACGTATATATTTCTTTAGTCCCATAAACACGTGCAAGTTTAACAACACATACCCAACCCATTCTTTTTCGTAGTCACATGATTTTAAAAATCATATATCACAATTCGTATTGTTTGAAATCGTCAAATGTTTAAACAAAATCATTAAATTTTCATTTAATGGCCCAAAAAAGCTATCAGATGATCAAGTAGATAAAATTATCACAATATAACTGAAAATTTTGCAAATTGCATGATAACCATTAAGAAATTTTTTACACCATTTTCTACCTACATGAACCATTTTATGTCATTTATGATCATATAGTGGGAAATGATTTGAATATCATTAAATTTTAACTCTAAGAAAGTGTAATCAAGATAAGCATCATATGTGGATTAATTGTTAAAGAAGTATTGGTCATAAAGAGTTGCAAACAAGTATCTAAATAGTTTTTTATTATTAAGGAAAATCAGTTCCTTCAAATGTAATGTTTTCTTTCTTTCTTTTTTCTCTCAGCCCCTGCCTCTTACAATTAGTTTAAAATATGTTTTAAAGTTAGTGTATACTCCCTACTAAATGTTGAATCTTATTTTGGGCAGAAAGGGTTGTTTTAATTATTTTTAACCCTAGAAACTTTCTCTAAATTAAAATATTTAGCTTGCATTTTTGCATTTATTTTATTAACTAGATAGAATATTTTTTTAATTTAATTCTCTGAGCATTAAAATTATTTAATATTAAAATTTATGTTTAAATAGACTTGTGTATTATGTAGTAAAATAAAAAAAAATAAAAAAAAAACTATCAGTTTTGTAACTTTTAATTTTAAACATTTAAAAGTATTTAATTTTCTGCAAACATATCACAAGGTTAACTGATAAAAAAAATTTAAGTGCCTAGAACAATGTTTATTGTTTATATAACAATTGTTACCTATAATTGCTGTCAACATGTCTGTCTAAATACTTGGCCAAGTGGCACTTCATTGGTTAATCTGCTGTGCATAGATGATAGAGATTATACACAAAAATGATGGCTAGTTACATGATAGAAAAACATTTTAGATTTTAAATCTGTGATTTTTCTTTTAAAAAATATCAAAGTAATTGAAATCATGATTTTAATGGAGATTTAAATCAAGCTGAATTAAATTGGCAAACCCTGAAATAAATCTTCAAAAACTGTGAGAAAATAAGTTTGAAGGAAAAGGAGAAAAAGAGTAATATTTAGAAACCCAATTTGATGCATGTACCACATTGTAAACAGATAACAGTTAAAACTGCATTTATTTTAATCTACTTCATACGATAAAATAAACCATCTATTTAGTTAATAAAATGAACTAAAATCGAAAAGCACACAAAGAAATATTTTATAGGAAGAAAGAGTTTACCTTTTCTGAAATATGGTGAGCTCCAGGTTTAGTTTCTTTGTTTTCTGACATGTTTTTTGACATTGTTAATATATCTCCAGCAGATTTCTGTGTCAACACCTGAAAAGTAACATTAAAAACAAGCTGCTTCATAATTATGTTAGCATTATTTTGCTTATGCATAAGTACTTAAACACTCTAGAGTACAGCACATTTCTACTCGCCATTGGCAATTAAATATTTAGGACTAGCATATAAGTTTCATCGCTTTTTTATTAAAAAAAATTTTTTAACTATGCTTCTATTTAGAACAAAAAATGCTGAGTCACTCACTTATCACTTATGAAACCATTGCTTTTGGAATGATTGAATTTGGATTTGATTACATTATTGTTACAATAAATATGTTTCAACTTTTAAGGTTCTACATTCTTTTATGTCTCAAGTTATCCTAAAGTTCTTTATACTACATCCATTAACGTTTTAAAAATTGGTCCAATTTTTAATGAATACAAAATAGTGGCAAGCAAAAATTTTTACTGGCTGGTATCTTTAGAATTGAAATTCCAAGCAATGCTCTACAATATGAATTTATAATTTCACAATTTTTCGCAATTAAATATTGCTAAATAACAGAAATGGTGGCACAATGAACAATGGTTTAAGATCACTTGACCTCTTAACTAACATACATAGTTCTTCCACGTATCATATTTAGTTGGCCTTCAGTTCAACTCCCACTCCCAAAATTATCATGAACTAATTTTAAACTACACTCTATTTCAGTTAAATACTAAATAACATACAGCATAACAGAATAAAAAACACTATTCAACAGATATAACACAGGATGCTTTCAGATGGTATTTTTAATTAAGAAGCTCAAGACTGTACTCGAGGAAGGTAACACAAGGACAACTGTCCCAGGGTCTAGAACTTCTGAGGGCTCAGTCAAATTTTCTTACAAAAATTTTGCGTTTTTAATTAGTTTATTTGAAAGAAAATTGCTAAGAATTACTTTATATCTATATAAAAACTACAATTCTGAATGAAGAGTTTTCAAAAATTTTACTAAATATGAAAATAAGATTTTTTTGTACTTTGATGAGGCCTGTAAAACCTATGTCGAATCTTGAAGAAGCTTATTTTCTTTATTCAATCTATTGTACGCCACATTCAAATTATATTTAATTTCATAAAAAAAAAAGATATAATCATTTCCTGAGGAATGTTTGACCCATTAATACATTCCAAGGCAACTGTTAAATTTAATTGATGATTGCTCTTATAAATGTAAGATATATAATTGAAACATTTAGATTGTTCAAAAGTAGAGATGTGCCTGCTTGATCAGGCTTGGAGTTATAAATGATTTCTTTTAATCAAATTAACATTAGGAAATGTGTTTATAAGTATCTTGTTATTTTGAAAATTGTCTAGCATGAAAAATCAATTTTGTAACTGATTACTAATTGGTATTCTTTAGTGATCCAGAAAATATGAAGAAAAAAAAACAGACACCCATAAGAACATCTGTTCCTTAGATAATTTGATCATTACTGCATAGTTAAATATCACTTACAAAAAAAACTTGGCAAAAAAAAACTTGGACATAGTTATTGCATCATAGAATAGAAATTAACTAATTTATTTTTAATTTGTGAGTTATTTCTTTTTTTCTACTACTTTAATTATATACTATTTTATAATATGTCTTAGTTTTGGTATTATATTTTGGCTTTTTTACAATGTCAAGCAAATCACTTTGGCGAGAATGGGATAGATTAATGGTAGAAGACTTGCAGTCTATTAGTGAAAATTTCAATAGCAGTTTGCATCACTGCAAAAGGTGGCCACTTTGAAACCAGTTAAATTTATTCATTAGTAAAAGTCTACTTTTATAATTATTTTTTATATTTTGTTAGATTATATAGTTTATTAAAACTATATAATCTAACAAAATATAAAAAATAATTATAAAAGTAACTAACTTTATAACTTTATTAAACTTTATAACTTTATTAGTATAACTTTATTAAAAGTTATATTAAAAATTGTTTGTCAGTTTTTTTGTCCTACTCTGTGAAATTCTTTATAATTTTATAAATAGATTAATAAATAACAATAAAGAAAATTAGTTTTGTTCCTTTTAATATTTATTGGCCAATGTATATTTTATGAAAAAAAATGCATAAATATTTCAGGAAAATATTAAAATATCATTTGACACAATATTAACTGATTACACATATTATTTATCAAAAAAGATTTTTTAAAGCAGTCTGTTATACACTTGCACCCGAGTCCAGGGTAATTTTTGCGTAATATGACCAGTTTTGTTTCCTTGTTCAAATTTAATGTGTAGTTTTTTTAGTGGCTAGAAAAACTCAAATAAATTTTTAAAAAAAAAATTTCAGATCTTATATTTTTTCGAATTTTATTCATGGTTTGAACAACAAACAGCAAGCACTATTCAGTTTATAACACCAGATATTTTGTTAAGAATAAGTGCTAACAGTTGATAATAAATACTACTTTGTTTGAAAATCTTAAAAACATGTTTTCATTGAGTTCATTGATTGCAATTCAGGATAATTTTCAACCAATAACTAAGTCAAAAATACATTTAATTCACAAAATAAAAATAAAAAATGATTCATAAACTTTAAAAGTGTAAAAAAAAAAAAAACTCAGTTAATGCTTTTGAATTTTTAAATGAAATCAAAATAAACTCTAATCAAGTCAGTTTTAGTCTGTATTCTTTGTAAAATAAGACTTGACCAACAGGTCGCATTTATTTTACACTTTTAATTCATATACCCTAAGAATTAACAAAACAAAATTAAAGTTTTTGACTTGATGCACTTAGGATTGAAAAAATAAATTTCATAGTTATATAACATAAAACTTCTTTTAAACCATTTTATGATAAAACACTAAGGAAAATTAAAAATTCATTTGAAGGTTTAGGTTTATATTTTTTTTTATTATGAACAAAAAAAAGTAAATATACTAAATACATATAGAAAATGAAACAAACAAGGTTTTTGAGTCAACATACATTTTTATGCTATTTATCAATTTTTTTAAATTGTTATCATTGAAAAAAAAATTCTAAAAATGTAATACTAGAACTTTTATATCAGCATACATTTTACTATCTAGCAGCCCACCTTTTCAGAATTGCTCAGATACAAAAAATCTTAAATAGAAAATTTATACAAGAAAATAAATAAATGCTATTCAACATGTACACACAATATCCAAAAATGGACCTCAAAACTTACCTAAAATAAATATTTAAGTTTTTTTTAGCAATTGATTTGCATTTTGTGTTTATCAATTTTACATATTATATAATAAGGAAACTAAGTAGAATAGTTTCTACAACAAGTTTATATAAAGTTGATTATAACAAGTTTATAACTTTAAGCTTTGAAATTAGATTACTTTATAGAAAAAAGTAATAATGGTTGTCAAGATTAGTCTGACTTTCTAAACTAGACTTTACTGCTTTACTTTATTGATTATTTTTAATATTTAAACATAAAATCATCAATCAGAACTATTTGATAACAGATGTTGAAAGAGTATAAACTTAACCCTATCTCTGTATTAAAAAATCACTTTGTTTTCCTTAAGTCACTAAAATAAATATTCTATTCCTTATAACTTGTAATTGCCACAGTAAACATAAAATGGATTTTCTTTTCCTGGTAAAATTAATCAACATTAAGTTTAAATAAAACAAAAATTAAAAATTAAAAAAATTGTCTAAATAATATAAAACAAAAATTAAATTGTTTCCCTTCGGAATAAAATATCAGCCACTTGCTCTATCAGATATCGGAAAAAGTCTTTTGTAGACAACTGCAGCTTAGGAATAGATTAAAGAGAACAAAGAAATAAAATGTATGCGTCAATTTCATATCAGTATATTTGGAAAAACAGATAAAATATTGTGATTTTAATAAAGTATTTCAAATGATCTTAGTACTTTAAGACAATGAAGTATCATAGTTGGTGTGAAGTATGTAGAGCAATGAAATTGGTTTTATTCTTCTTGCAAAATATATTTTCTCAACTAAATAGCAGGTTCGCTATAAGGGAAAGCTACCAAATCCAAAGGGTACAGAATATCTCTGATCGTTAGAACGAGGTTCGGGGAAAATTCAGACCCTGGGAAAATTTTTGATCTAATTAAAGCAAAAAATTGCAACAAAAATTTTTATTGTAAAAATATATATCACTTTATAAAATTTTCACATGAAAAAAAATTTAAAAAATGACTGAATTAAAATCATGGTAAGTATATAAAACCATGCTATTTTCAATATAATATTACATGGAAATTAGCACCGATTTGAATAAATATTTCGCAGCACCCATGATTTGCATAGAGTCCATCGAAAATCCATGCGGAGTTTCTATCATTTTTTTAAGCAAATATTGACTACGAATTTTTTCATTTTTTTTTTAAATCACAATATTTTTATGCGTGTTATTACAACACTCTAAATTTGAATCACGCACTTTGCACTTGGTTATTGAATTTTGAAATGACGATTCTATCTATGTTGGTAATGGCTATTGATTCCAGGGTTTGAAAAAACCCGTTCATATATTTCACACGTTATTTCGACAAGCTAAATTCAAGTTACACATTTGAGTAATTACTTTTTGCCGCAGTTACTAATTTTGTCCCATTTCATAAAAAAATACATGTTTTTATCATTGTTTCAACTGTTGCTGCTCTCAATTTTCAAATGTGCTTCCTTTTTCAATTTTTTTTATGCGTCTTTTTTTAAAAAAATCTCATTTTTTCCCATACATTATTACAATATACAAAATTCTAATAGTGTATTTAAGTCCACTTTTTTATCAAAAGGTTTGGTCATTTTATTCTATCAATTTTTTGGCAATTATTGCAGATTTCTAAAATACCAATATTTTGAATACAATATTATTTATAACAATGCATGAGTTAGGAGTCATGTATTCGAGTAATCACTTTTTGATGTGTCCATTTCACATGATTTTGCTGTAAATCTGGTTTTGACATGGGCTTCTTTCCCGGCAAATTATTCTCATATTGCAAGATTTCAAAATCCAGTCTTTTTTTTCTTTTAAACGTGAAAATAATATCGCCTTTATTAGAATATTCTTATGTTCATGCAATTCATATACATGCATTGTTATATGTTGAGATAGCTATTCTGCTTACGAGCTACAGCATGTCAAATACGCCAAAAATTGTGAGATGCACAATTCAGCGTAAAATATATAAAAAAATTAAATAGAATAAGAGCATCAAAAGATTTATATGCAAAATTAAACTTTATATTTTTTGTATATAATTGAAGTAAATAAAAATAATTTTAAACTGAATTCATATAGAAATTTGGTTTTAATTCTTTAAATAATTGCATTTTTTTTTCTACTCATAAAATACTTGCTTTTTATGTATGTTTTTAAAATAGATATTTGTATTATTTTAAAAAAGGACTTGCTTTTAGAAAAAATTGACTCAGAAATTTGCAAAACTTGGGTTTTAGGGACCTATAGTTTCTTTAGTCTTGTAGAATCTAAGTCCTGTAGAATTGTTGATGAGAAAAAAATTTAATACAAAGCATTTATTTTCTTTCTCCCTTTAAATACCATGAATGTTATTTTATAGCATGAAAGTTATGGCCTATCATTTAATATTTTTTCATTAAGGTCTATCCTTTAATATCTTTTCATTAATTTAACAGAAAATCAGTGAACAGCATGAAAAAAAATTGGGTATTAAAAAACTACAGGTAGCATTCACGATAATTTAATATAATAAAAATGTAGTATTTGGTCAAATAAGGCATTAGAAAGATGGAAAAGTAAGTTATCATTTAAATATTAAAATACACATTTTTAAAGATTTTAACATGGTATATAAGTATGCCATACTTGCTGTCTAAAAACAAAGAATATTTTCTGTTAATGTTATGTTAAATATAACAGAAATAACTTTTCAATTTGTTTATTTATAAAATTGAATTCTTTAGTTTATGAGTAAGACCTTAAACTTATTTTGATAAATTATTACTATTTCAATACCTTTTGATTTCTATTATTTTCAGCAGATATACCAGATCAGCAGATATCACTAATTTAAAAAATTAAGTGTCAAATATTTAAAAAAAAATTTTCAACTATAGCTAACAGATAACAAATAATCTTTGTACATGTAAATTTTAAGCTCAACTCAAAGTGATTAAACTTCAATTTTATGTATATAAAATACATATTTATTACCTTATAGATACAAATGACAAATTATCTGAGCAAAAGTTTTTTTTAAGAGTTCTTGCTGTTACGGAGGGAAAAAAAAATACTTCGTAATAATTACCATTTTATAAGATAAAGTCTTCACTACCAATCTTCACAGCAATACAAGACAAAATGAGTTAAAGTTTCCTATGATTGTGTCTAAAAAGTTAAGCAATCATTACTAAAAGCTACAAATACATGTATATAGCAGGACTGATAATGCAGCTAAAAAAGGAACATTTATCTACCTTGCACTTTTATCAATAAACACTGTAAAGATAGTTCAAAGTATAAAACAAGAGCAAAGTTGAAAGAAGACACATTTAGAACGCATTGACCATTATCTATTGCCATAAAGTCAAGGGCAAAATAGATAAAAGAAAAATTTTGCAAAAATGAATGCAAGAATACTACTTCTACAGAGTAAGAGGGGGAAAAAAAACCTTTTCTTACATTAGCTTATCAAAGTATCATGCACATTACTTGAATTTAAAATTATGCATTAAAAATCTAACATACATTTTTCCAAAATGAAATATGCTTTTTGAAATATTAAATATACTTTTTAATGTGATTTATACAAAAATTTAAAATTCTAATTTTTTTGTAATATCTGAATACAAAAAATTCAAGAATTTAACTTTGATATAATACAAATTTTTTAACACTCAAAATATAAATTTAAATAAAATGAATAAGTTATTCGGAAGCCTATTAAGTCAGGTGTATCTAAGAAGTGTAGCTATGTAGGAAAATGAGGGATGCAGTTGCCTTAAGGTGTTCAAGATATCTATAATAAATAGCTTCAGATATCAATAAAAATCAGTATATACCATTATGGTTTGCTTATTCAATCCACATAACTGGTTCTTTGCAATACTTTATAGTTATAATTATTTTTTTTAGGAAACCCCTATCTCTGAGTTAGATTTACATTTAAGTGACAAGAAACCACATTATTATTATCAACAACAAAAAAAGTTAAAAAGTTAATGTAGCACAACATTAAATTTTTTCAACAAAAAAATTCCACTTTTAATGGTTATTGAAATAAATTACAGAAACTTACTAAGTTTTCATAATTATTTTTTTTTTTTCACTTTCACCATAGAGCAAGTCTTTCATTGATTACTTGAATGTTTGGTTTGTTAATTTGGGTTTTACATCTAATTTGATACATGTAGAAAGAGCTTCAGTTTACTTTTTGTCAATATTTCAGTACATTTTATGGTGCCAATGAAGAATGTATGAAGAAATTAACTACAAATTTAATTATTATATAGAAAGGAATAAGACTGTAATCTCTAACTAAAGTCATTTGTGCTCATAATAGCCTAACAAGTCTATTATGAGCACAAATGACTTTAGTTAGAGATTAGCCTTTATTAGTATTTTCTCAATTAAGTCTAAGCATAAATTGAGAAAATACTAATAAAGACAACACTTTATCATAGTCTTTATTAGTATTTTCTCAACTTATGCTTCTGCAAATAATATAGTGAGCTTAATGAATTTTTACGTAAGAAATTTGAGTTTTTTCAAAAAAAAGATTTTATAAAAGCAGACTTGTACTTAAGACTTTTATAATAATACATATCAGTATCAGTACTAAGAGATTAAAGGTTAGAAAATAAAAAGCCTTCCCAATACAAATTGCTGTTTCCCTAGTTCTTACAAATTCTGTTCTTACAAAAGTTCCCTAGTTCTTACAAAAAAAAGATAGCTTCACCATTTATATCGACCTTGCAATAGATATTTAGCAGTAATTAAAAAGAATTCGAAATTTCGTGATAAAATTTACAATTTAGAAGATATTGTTGAATTGATTAACACTAGAAAGACATACCTAGAAAAGATGGAAGGGGCTAGTATAGCATTTCCTATATTTTTCTAGAATGGAGATAAAATAAACATCTAAAACCACAAAATATAGTGACAAATTAGTACGTAAAGATATAGTAAAGGCCTAATCATTAGAATTTCCTTTTTTTTCCCCATTATGATATAAAAAAAGTTTGATTAAACGAAACATTGACTTTTTCAATTATACTTATATTTTTGTTGTTCGGAAAATTTTATTTTTACTCTTTATAAATGATAATAATTGCAGATTAAAAAAAATTAACAGAAATACTTCATTTCAATTAATGAAACTGAAAATTTATGATACCAACATTGATTTAATTTCATTTTTAAAGTTTTTATAAAAATCAATAATGCTTTTTTTTTTTAACATATTTGCCGCAATATGGGTATGTGTACCATGCTAGATTTCCTTCATACTACCTTGATTTAATTCTGCATTTTTCATGACATGTCAGAAGCTCTTCACGTAATTGGAAGATATAATTTCTGCGACTAAGTTCCTCCTTTCCTGTTAACTTTTTATGTAAAATTGACACATCTATAGCTGATATATGTAAAATTCTAATTTAATATTATAAAGACGTGTCATAGTGATTCTGAAAAAGATAAATTTTTCTGTAATATTCCAAAATTTTTCAAGGCCCCCTGCCATCATTTTAGGGAAACACTTCAAAAATTAGGCTTCTATGAAGATAACACCTAAGTTAATAAGCACCAAAATAGGATCATATTGTAAAAAGACATAAAATTTTACTAAAAGACGAAATTTTACTACGTTAGTTATTTTTAGAATTACCGAACAGCAAAAAACGAGAGGGAACACATGGGCCCTTTCATCATTCTAGTGTTAATGTATTGTGTAGTGTTCCATTGACAGAGAAAATTTTATGTGAAAGTAATTCCAACTGGAGTTTGTTTGTCAATATTTAATAATTAGGTATGGCAATAATTTGATACAGTTAAGCCATATTTAACATATACAGTCAGTCAGAAACTTTCATTCTATCAACATTGGTTACCTGAAAAGCCTTTGGAAACTTCGATTTTTCAGCTTTTTATTTTCCAATTTTATCCAAAGCATCCAAGTACTGAAATATACATTCATAAAGTACCAAAATAGTATCTGTTTGCCTTTTAAAAATTAATAAAATAAATTGCCTTTTAATTCTGCAGGTTCGTTGGGTCACAACCTTTACACAAGCACTTAGAAAAACCATATAATTAGGTTAAATTTAAAATGGTAAAAGTAAATTTTGTTCCAAGATTTATAAGAAACTTGGATAAGACTTGGCATTGCATTTTCTATGGTTAAGATAATGAATTATAGATTTCTTTTGTTATTGAGAATTAGAAGAGTATATTGAATCCTTGTCAAGGAATTGACGTCTCTTGTACACGTTTTATAAGACTTGCAAATTATTCTTTAAAGATTTTATAGCTTCATTAACCATATCTTTCCTGTCTGAAAACTATCTTCACTCTTTATCGTGAAGTATTGTAATAGGCGAATTATTTTGGTGATAAAACACATAGTATATGCCATCTACTTTATTTTATTTTTAGCTAAACTTTAGTTCTCTAGGTGCATGTTATTCAGTTCACAACCAGCATAATGCTATATAGCACTTAAAACAGACTTCTAAAACTTTAAAGGAAGTGGATTGTGGATTTTGTCAAAATAAGTCCAGTATTAGTAAGGAAATATTTGCTATAATTTTAAGAACTTACGTTAAAGCGAAATTATGTTATAACGTCTATATTTCTTCATACCACAGGGAGTGTACAGTCGACTGTACACATCGAGTGTACAGTCCGCAAAAAAATAATATTTATATATCACCCTGAATAACTTTCGTTTTAATGATTCACATACTAAGTGCAATCTTAATGGTTCCTGGGGGGTGACCTCAAATATGCAATTATTAACTATTAAGTTACAAAATTGGACACAAAAATGTATTTTCTCTGAATAAACATGTTTTTTTTCCCTACATATTTGGATTCTTAACCTTCAAAGTATAGGAGGTAGCCACAATATGGTAAATATGGTTCCCATATTGTGGCTACTTGATCAGGAGAGCGATTCAAAGTTCTTACCCCTTAATGTTAATTTCACTCTTTGCCTTTAGTCATATTTTTAAAACTAATTAAGCAATTCAAAAAATAAAATTCCCCCCTCTTATAATACCCATATACCCAAAGATAATTTCACGTAAAAAATACTTTTTAATAATTATTTATTATTTAATATACTTGTGGATGAAAAAATTTTGAATTAAGAGGTATACATTTTCTTTTATACCATATTAATCTACGTATTTTTCCATTGCAGAATCTTAAGTTTCAACAGTTTTTATTTGGTAGAAGCAGAGAAAAATTAAAATTATTCTTAAAAAAAAAATTTGGCGACAATGAAGAGTTATTCAAATGAGGCGATTAACATTTAAATGTGATTAACTTATGAGGAACTTTACTTCCACACACCTAAAGTAAAATTTCATTCATATTTTTTTGTAAATAACCAAGTGCTAATCCTTTTTTTTTTTTCAAATTACAAAATACGATGTTTCTTTTTTAGTAGTCTAAAACTTTATTTGTAATTTAATAAAGACATTTGAAAAAAACATTTTATTCAACGAATGTTTAGTTTTATAAAAGCACGTTTCTGATAGAATGAGATCATACATCAGCTTTTTTAATTAAATTTTTAATTTTTAGCTTGTTCTTTCAATAATTGATACAATTTCAATAATATACAAACATATGCATAGATTTGGAATAATATGTTTATCAATTTTCTCAATATATATTTTATAATTATGAATATGAATTAGTAGTCAACCTTTTTAAGCATCTTAAAATTTCTCAACATCTAATATATCGTCTTAATCTTAAAATTAATTTTTTAATTATCTGTTTGCCCGTGTTCAGCAGAATTATTTTATGAACTATTTAATTAAATTTTAACATTTCTCAAAATCTTACTCTTTACGCTACCAGGTATATTATTTTTCCCATTAATATACTAATCAATTATTTTAGTACTTTAACTTATGTTTTTCTTTAAAGTAAAACTCTTTTTTAAATTATTGTCAAATTTTTATCAAAAGAAAAATTAGAATTATTGCCAGTTAGCTGAGAATTATATCTTTTCAAAAACTAAAAATATTCTGTTGATAATATTATTCGATGCAGAACACTTGACTATTTACTAAGCATACTATTTTTTCCAAAAATGAAGATAAAATAAGAAAATTGTCCTTTTAAAAGGATAATGTTGAAAAAATTTGCTT